GCTCCCAACCCAGCAGGGGTTGACATGTATGTGTTACCTGTTGAAGCTTTTATATCCTGGTAGGTTTGTTCGGGGCTCCAGCTCAGGCATGCGGGGGACGAGCGTGTCAGCCAGGGCCGGGTCATTGATGATGGCCTGCTCCCAGGGTGAGTGGTATGACTTTGGCACAGCTGTAYTGTTGAACCGTTCTGCTGGGATATCTTTCAAAGGACCTCCATATCCTGAAGAAAATACACAACACAGACAGTAGGTCATTTTTTAACCTTTTTAGAGTTGCTCTTTTTTGTGTCTTATTATGCTACCTTTAAGTTTTAGTCAGCGTTCTGTTACCTTTGGTTGCATTTAGCTACTTTTAGCTTTTAGCTACTATTCTGCTGTTTGCTCTTAGCTAGCCTTTTGCTACRTTTAGCTGGCATTTTGTTACTTTTAGATAACCTTTTTTTACTTATAGATTTTTACTTTGTACCACATCTTATTTTAGCTTTCAGAAATGTCAGACTGAGACTTATTGTCATTCAAATCATTACACGGTAAAAATGTTAAGCAGGACCAAGCAGGGCATTCTGATGTTAACGCCTAATAATGCTTATTTCATGGATGATAACATCCGAAGCGGGTGGACCAAGTGTATGAACAATAAAACTACAATAAAGCAGGCAATTTCACTCAACCTTTTTCTACTTTTGGCTTCAACATAGCCTTTTATTTGTTACTAGCTTTCAGGCACTTTTAGCTCGTAGTCAACCAGGTTGTGTCAGGAAGGGGAAACAATTCTGTGGCGATCACCTGCTGAAAGTAGCAGTCAAAAACAACAACAACAACAACAACAACTAGACACCGCATAGCAGTAACACAATGACCCCCACACGTACAAATGCACCAGAACTCAGAAGTCTTTATTCCTAATAAATGTCATGGTGAATCCCAAAATTGTACTAGCTTGGGTGGGGTTTTTTTTTATAAGCATTTTTGCATGTCCTGACACCCCCTCTTTGGATGGAGCCCCCTCCTCAAATATGGGGTCTATCGTAAAACCGTTGGCTGGTGCAGTGTAGGTCGGACTCATTTCATGTTGATTGGTGCAGCCGTTGTTGTGCTACGGTTGACCAAAAATCACTGAAAAATAAATAAATAAATAAATAAACCGTACGAAAACAACATGACTCCGCTTACGGGGGGTCATAATAATGTTTACATACTTTTAGATTTAGCTAAAAAGATTAGCTAATCATTTGATCTTTCTAAAGCATTTTGCTATTTTAATCACCAAGACTAGTTGTTAGCTCCCCAGTCCAGTCAGACTTGATCACTATTTCTTATGTCGTATATATATATATGTTTATGTGTGTGTGTGTGTGTTTAGTAGTTCTTGAGTGGTTTTTATCTACTCAGTGATGTTAGGGAATACAACGTAGTGCACACATTAAAAAGCAAAATGATTTCTCTTCATTTGCAGTGGAACGCAGAAGGTTTGATGCACCAAATATTTGCTGAAAAAGACCATGTTCACAGCACAATAAAGCAGTCTGTATGGACAGACCCGCCCCTCCTGTAGACTTCATAAACATAAACAGTAGATGGGAGAGGCTTATCTAAAGTACTCTCCTTCAATCCCACTGATTCACTCGCAGGGGGGCTCACAAACTCAGGAATGACATAACATCAGTGTCATGACAAGTCTTAACGTTTCACAATGAACACCCTCCCGCACACAGACACACACAGACACACACTGACACACACACCTTCCTGAGTTCATGCTTGGCTCTGAGGAGGAAGCAGGAGGCGCCGCACAAAACCTGAAGGGAAGTTTACAGAGTTTTTATTTCTTTTGGGTGCGGGGAGGACAACTCGAGAACAAAACATTTTGTGAAAAGTTTTTCCGAGGTTGAGGAATTTGTGTTGCTGGGGCTGGTGGAGCTGACGCTTCTGCTCCACGCCCAGATTCACGTGGAGATGAAAAGGCTCAGAGCGAACAGAAACAGACATCTGACTGTCATTTTAAACTGTAATCTCAAGCATTTCTACATTGCTGTAAACCTATTTAAACAAAAACACCAAAGCTTTCGCACCTGTGCTCAGAGTTCGTGTTGGGGGTGATTTTCAGCTACTAYGACACCAAATCTTTGCTCAATAACTGTAAAATCAACCGAGTTGTAGCCAGTTTTAGTTTGCTAACAGTGACGGGCTGTTTTGTTCAATTCTGTAAAAGTGGTTAGTGAGATATTTTACTAACAGACAATGTTAGCAGTGTTGACCATAACCTAAAGCTCAAAGGACTAACCGTATTTTATGGTCAAATGTTTCTGGCATTAAAATGAACATGTAACTTGAATGAGAACAAGGCAGTGTTGCTATTTTAAGGCTTTTTACCATTTGATACCAAATGAACTTTGGCCTCTTTTTTTTTTTTTTTTACAGTTGGAGTGACTTCATTCAGATACAGTCAGGTGGTGTCTGGTCCAGAAATATAACCCCTCCACCCCTTCGCTCCTACTCATCCCCAAATCAGTATCGGGTTTTCTGTCAACGGGTCAGAACCTCGACACGAGGGAGGAAGTGAGTGCAGAGCAGATGGTATCAGTGGCACAAGAGGCAAACAGGAAACACATCCTATGGGAAGAAACAACGATTTCAACAGAATTAGAACAAGGAGGGTTCATAAAATGCAGGGGATGTTTGGAAATGAGTGTGGGATGAAGAAAAAAAGTGATGATAATAATAAAAAATATATAATGTATAACCGAATTTAGCTGGAGGCCAGCAGATTCCAGGCAAGAAAAAGGAAAAGGCTTTCCAATGAGATCAAAGCCAACGTTAGAACAAAGAATGAGAAACGTCTGAATTCTTATCAAAACATCCAGAACTCTGGACGCAGCCCATCCTCTCAGCCTCTCAGCCTTTAAACAATAAAACCTGCTCTTTGTATTTTTATATCATAAAGAATWCCAGGCAAACCTGAAAAATCTGTAGTGTGACGGCAGAGATTCAAACTCTGCTTTCAAACTTCACTAAAATCTGTTGAACAAGCTGAAACTGAGTTATTTAGATTAAAACAAGAAAAAAATTGAAATGAATTAATGAAATTAATCAAATATAAAAAAAACAGCAAGACAGTGGCTAAAAGCTAAAGTCTAGCAAAACAGTAGCCGAAAGTTATTTTCAAAAGAATGGCTAAAAGCCAATAGAACAATATGTAAAAGCTAAACTTGGCAAACCAGAAATAAAGTGGCCGTAAAAAAGCTGATGTTAAAAAGCACCAAGTTTTATTAAAGATTTGACAAGATCTCACTGCATCAGATCTTTGTTGTAGGAAACTATTTTTTAAACTTAAAACTATGAGAACATAAACTAAAATGGGCAAAACAAAAGCTAAAAATGAAAACGAGCTAAACAAAACCTGAAACTACTCCAACAAAAAAGTGAAAGCTAACATTACAAAGGTTTATCAAAACTGCCAGAAACAGCTAAAACCATTTCAATTGTAGCCTTAATGTAAAGACCAGCAAAACAGCTGCTTAACTTAAAAGTAGTATCTGAAAGCTAAGACCAGCTGTAGCTAAAATATAAAACAAAAAAAACGGCTTAAAACTAAAATTAGCAGAAAAATACTTAAAAGCTAATTGTGAAGCAGACCTCCTGAACTAGATTCTATTTTTTTTTTGCAAGGGGAAAAAAATGGACAAATTTTTGAAGAATTACAAATAGTATAAAAGTTAAAAATACAAAAATTTAAAGACCCTAACAATCTGAGTGGTTTCACATCTGAATGGCTGAAATAGCTAAAAGTGTGATGCAGTCATGGTCCAGAAAACATACAGAAATGAGTAGAAACAGAAAAACTCTTGTGTGAGAGATGACAGCATTCACACTGTAAATGTCTTTACAAAAAAAAAGTTATGATTATTCAAGAAAACATGTTGTTAAAGTAAAACTGTCTCCAGATAGATCAGGGAGAGGCTCACTGACCAAGTGTCCACCTTTAGCTAGCTAGTGTGTCACTGCAGACGGTTTTATAGCTTCTGAAAACAGGTTACAGATTGTATCACCAGTGTCACTTACCCGGAGCAATACTGTCTGGATTTGGCTCCATTTTTGTGTCTGGTGTATTCAATGTCAATTTGCACGGCTGGTCGACACTCAAGTTATTGTTGCTTGTGTGTCCACCCGCGGGGTCCTCGTCCTCAGTGTGGAAAACCACTCTGTTCTAAAAGAAAAGGTTAAAGAGGTCAGTGGAGAAAGAAACGTTGCAAACCTAGCTATAGATATATAATGTTTGAAATTCAGGGGTTTGTGGAAAGGTTTTAAACAAACAGTTTAAAACCTTTCCACAGTTTGTGGAAAGGTTTTAAACTATTTGTAGTTTGTAGTTGATCTTTTTTGTAAATTGATTTTTTTTTTAATTCTGCAGTTGATGTTTTTAATTTTAACTGGTTGAAATACCACAATCATCCCCATTTTCCACCTAAAACATAGCAGCTGCCTGTTTGTGCTTTTTCTGTTTTTATTGTAGCCATTGTTTTTTTTTTTGGCTGTATCAGCCCAGGCTCCCCGCTTTCAAGCCCTCTGAAGGATATTTATGATGATTTACTTCGGCACTTCCTCAGGAAATGTTGACAACTTGAAACAAAATCTCTCTATCGCCCAGGGCAATAAATAAACTGAGATTTGTGGCTCTTTCTTCCTTCAGAGTTTGAGGGGAAAGCTTCTGTAGCTGGAGCAGAACAATTATTTTATCTACAGATTTCAAGAGGGCAACGGGGCTAACACACRCACAGACACACAAACAAACAAACAAAGGAAAGAGGGTTTGAAAAATGCTGCTTTTAATTAGACATAGCCAAGAGAAATTCCGTTCAGCTTGATTAAATGTTACATAGAACCTCTGGAATATAAATTGCTTTATGCTTGAACAGGTCAGGCTGTCTTGGCACAATGCCCATACTTTCACAAAGAGACATTAATAAAGCTATGCATGACCTGCTGGAAGACTTTTACTATATGCTGCTCCATGTCTGTAAAGAGAAACTCAAGAAAACACTTTAAACTCTTAATCTCTATTTAAGTGACAGTATTTTTTAGTTGTTTTTTTTACAAGAGAAATGAAAACAGGGAGAATAGTAAAGAGATAGGTGCATAGAGAGGACACAATATCAAAATGAAATTCTCACARTCACAATATTTAACATCAGGTCAGTTATGTTTACATTTCAAGTTCAATTCTTGTATATTATAATGGTGTATTGTACCGTTTCATATTGTATAGTATCGCATAGTATGGCATCCTATCACATTGCATCATATCATATCCTATTGTATAGTATTGTATCATATCGTATCGCAGCATGTCATATCCTATTGTATAGTATTGTATCGTATCGTACCGTACCATTTCGTAACGTACCATATCGTAGCATATCGTACTGTATTGTATTGCATCGCATCATCATATCCTATTGTATGGTATGGTATGGTATGGTATGGTATGGTATGGATGAGAGTGTGTCCCACTGCGTGTGACTGATCATCTGTAAAACACAGAACAGGGCGTGCTTTGTGTCTTCATTTTAACCAGTACAAAGAAAGAGATCCAAATTCGATCAAATTCAGAATACTGAACAGCTATTTGTATTTTGATTGAACATGCAATTCAATGTTGCAAAAATTGTAGTTGTCAGTATGACCATAATCAAATACAGCAAATGCAGCAAAAAAATTCTAGGACAGAAAAATTAATTGCAAAACATTATGAGTGTTGAACCAAAACGTTATAGAATTGTCTTGACCAGAAACAGAACGAAAGGAAATTTTCAGCCTTTGACCCTCAAAATACCAGCAGCAGAGACCTGAGCCCCCAACTGTTGTTGGATCATAAACATTGTTTTCATGTAAAAAAATAAATAAAAAAATAAGAGCATATAGTAACAAAGAAATGAGGGGTGGTAGGAGAC